AAATGAAATATTTTGGGCGGGGCAACACAATGGTTTGAGTTGAAGGTGTGAGAAAGAATAGTATCAGTAACATTGTTAACACTGTGCTACATTACAGAGAAATACAAAACCATACTAATGAACCTTCATTAATATAGGCCTATATTTTATCTACAAGTGCACGTCACACACTGAGCGAGCCGCCTGTTAATGACGCTGTGGGCTAATGGGCATGTAGCTACTTCCATGTTTCAGATGATATGTCATGTTTGTAGTCGACCATTTAAGATGAGTTTACATATCACCTTGGGTTATTGAGGTTATTGAGGTCTCAAGGTTGGCAAGTATGCCAGGAACCTGAGGACACTATTGACAGGTTGCCATGGTAGTGACTTGTCAGTGCCTTAAAGCATACCCTGCTTTATTATGTTTTTTTTGCCCTAAATGGGACCAGTATTTACAAAATGAACCTCGTGTTGTATTGAGGAAGACCAACCAGTTGAGACCATAAATTCAGTAGGAAAATGTTTACTGAGGTATTAAATCAAGTGAGAAGTAGGGTCATTTTCTTAAAGATGTATACAGTCCGACTTCCTTTTGCAGCCAGTGGAGTCGCCCCCTGCTGGCCATTAGAATGAAAGCCTGGTTTAATTCAGACGCCCTTGGTTCTATCTGAAATACCCCTGCAGCCTGTCAGTGGCTTGCAGTGATGCAAAACCACCATTTCCTGTAGGATGATGTGACTTTCTTCCTCTGAAGGTGACACGCCACCTACCGAGCTCATGCAGGCAGGCTACCCCCATTCTGTCACGGAAGTGTCTGACACATGAAAAGTTATTATCCCCAGGAGTGAACAGTCTCTGGAGGTATCTTATGTGCAGCACTGCTGGTGGAACCACAGGGTGGGCTGCTGACTTCTGAGCAAATTCCAGCTGAACTGTTTAGATGCACTTTAGAGGTTGTTGCTGGGGTCCCCGCTGTCTGCACGTGCAAGCAGCAGGCTTCAATCCCCTCCCAAACTGATGGGCCAGGGATTATCCCAATTTTAGCCACCTGCTTACTTCCAAACATCAGCACCTCTGCTCTCCACCCTGGCAGCTGAGGCGGCTCAGTAAGCATTTAAATCACTTGTATTCAGTGTGACACAGGCTAAATACACAGTTGATCAAAGTTATTTCAGTGCTGATGAAACAACTGTTGTATGTAACTGAAGCGCCAAAAATTGTTTAATTTTTTAACCACATTTAGACGAGTTAGCTTGGATGTCTAGACATATTTTGACCTGTGAATCAGTGCCCATCCTGCATTAAAAGGTTTGTGCACATTAGTCACATTAGAAGATCCTTGTCCTGTTTTTGGTGTAAAGCAAAACAGCAGATTTAAAATCACATCCAACCTGAGGCCACAAAGTGTAGAATGAAGTCTTCTTCAACAAGCATGCCAGTTATTTTTAATGATATAATACTACTTGTCATGCTAAATGTTTTCTGAATATTTTAAATGGTTTGCATATTGTTCATGTCATATGTTTCTGTAGCTCCTTAGCTTAGCCCAGCACATGCACATAAAATCCAGAATAAAGACTTTCAGGCTGGACACCAGAGCCTACTGTCAGTTACCTCTGCAATCGCTTTACAGGACTGTTTGAATAAAATCTGCAGAAGCAGAAATTGTGCAATGGACATCAACCTCTATTCAAATCCTACCTGTCATCACCCATTGTAAAAGTTATCATTTCAGAGGAACAAAGACGCAGGGAAAAAAAAGGCACAAAGTGTGTTATGGTGGATTTTTTGGCTTTGAACCGTTGATGGTGTCTCATGGTGATAGATCTGTGATGGGGTGTCAGACTGAATGGGATGTTGTGAAAAGGGGACTGCAAGGCAACCAAATTACACACGTCACAACACATCTGTTGTATTGAAATGCATCTGGATAGATTACTCTAGGAAAAAAAAAAATCACACAGCAGAGTGAAAGAGACAACAGTTTTGTTTGTTTTTACAACAATTCCCTGACATACAGAATAAAGTCTCTGATTATTTTACTCACTTTGAAAGTCTGAAAAAAAAAGAAATGAAGCGTATGTAGCCACATTAGAAGTGACGCTGTAGGGATGTTGGTACCTCAGCAGCTATCCCCTGACTTTTCCATTAGCACATGAGATCAACATTTTTTAAGTAGATAACTCAACAAATATTTGCTGGGTTGCCAATAAATTTGGTACACACATCTCATGCATGTCCCTGTCAGATGCATGCTAACATGGCAGCATGGTGGTGCAGTGGTTAGCATTGTTGCGTCACAGCAAGAGGGTTTCCTGTGTGAACCTTGGGGGGGGGGGTGTCAGCCCTGTGATAGTCTGGTGACCTGTTCAACGTGTACCCTGCCTCTCACCCAGTGTCAGCTGGGATAGGCTCCTGCCCCCCGCAACTCCCAACAGGATAAGCAGTTTCAGAAAATGAATGCTAACACAGCATGCTAACACAGTAAACTAAGGTATAAACAGTATACCTGCTAAAACATGCTAAAAATCATCATGTTAGCATTGTCATTGTGAGCATGTTAGCATGCTGACATTAGCATTTAGCTTGAAGCACTGCTGTGCAAATGTAGCCTCCAGCTTCTCAGAGCTGCTAGCGTAGCTGTGAGCTCTTCATCTTGTTCTGATTAAATCTGAGTGATGAGGCACGTGCTGCCTTGGTGTTATATTGTTTTTAACTTAATTGTTTCTAGATCTATGTTTGGATTATATTGCCTTCACGTGAACTTAAATACTAAATTAAGTTTTTTGGCAGGTGCTGCAGAGAATTAAAAAGAAAGCTAACCTTGGAGCACTTAATTACTTTTGAAAACAGCTGTAGTTAATGTACTATGTGCCTCTGTGGCTCATTATTCCATAGTGTAAATTCCCATGGAAAATGTGCCTGTGTAGACAATGTTGTAACACGCATATGTTTGTGTAGCACAGCTATGATAACAGCAGATATAGCAGTAATGTTTTCTGTAATTTAAAGGGACAGTCCACCCCAAAATCAAAAAATATATATTTGTCCTCTTACCTGTAGTGCTGTTTATTAATCTAGATTGTTTTGGTGTGAGTTGCAGAGTGTTAGAGATATCGGCCGTAGAGTTGTCTGCCTTCTCTCCAATATAATGGAACTAGATGGCACTCAGCTTGTGGTGCTCAAAGTGCCAAAATATAGATTTTAGATAGATACATTTTAAAAATTCAACAGCAATGTCTCTTTCCAGAAATCATGACCCAGTTACTCAAGATAATCCACAGACCTTGTTGTGAGCAGTTTCACGTAGTAAACTATTTTCTTTCTACCACACACCCTTATCACCGCACAGCTAACTAACGTTAGAGCTCAGCCGAGGAGGACAACATTAATGTTTTTATATCTCATACTGTCAGGAGCACGAGCCTCTCGTCCATGCCTCTTTCTGCACAGTGATACAGTTGGCACGTGTTGTTTGATAGAGAGAAAATAGTTCCTCTATGAAACTGCTCACAACAAGGTCTGTGGATTATCTTGAGTAACCGGGTCATGATTTCTGGAAAGAGACATTGCTCTTGAGTTTTTAAAATGTTTTTCTTTCTTCCTTTTTTTGCCCTTTGAGCACCACAAGCCAAGTGCTATTTAAACTTGTTATATCTTTATGTTGTTGTTATTGAGAAATTCATCTCTGTTTCCTGCCCAGGGACTACAGATGAAAATTAGCTTAAAGCTAACTCTGGTGCAGCTAAATAGCCGTGCACTGTCCCCGTTAAATAAATAAACTGGCAACTCACATCAAAATGATCTAGACTGATTTATAGCACTACAGTTAAGAGGAAAAGTATGTGCTTTTGATTCTGTCCCGTTAACATCGGGTTTTTCAAAAGCAGCTCAGCTCTTGCTGTGGCATTAATCTGTAAAGAAATGCTCCATAGGAGAGGTAGAGATATGTCTTTTAATACCCTCAGTAGACCAGAATGCATCACAACTATTAGACAGGTTGAATTGTAAGTTTTGATTGCAGTTTCACAGCTGGGAAAACCTCTTGGCTCTTGTTCTCTGTCTGTGTTATTTCTCTCTCTGTTCACTGTTTACTTACACATACAGCCCACAGGTGAATGCCACCAGTTCATGCCCACTCTCTGAGGTCACTGAAAGTCATTTAATTTAGCTGAGGGAATTAGTAACAGCCGTGAAGGTAGATAAAGCCGGCTGAGAGGAACTGGACCGCAAAAAAAAGTAAATTCTCCCACCCCACCTTCAGGCCTGCAGCTCCTGACATATGTGTTATACATGGATGATGTGAGCTTATAGGTGCCATATAGTGTAAATTAACTTCTAAATATAAACGACTGTCAGTGATTGGCACCTGAAGCTTTAATACCCACAACTGAGGCTTCTTCCTGCCGGAGGTCTTCTCGCTCCTCATCCCAAGTGTGGAGACAGAGGCAGCGAGAGAGGTATCAGAGGCCGAATGGCTTTGGAGATCGATACGTGCCTCTTACTGCAGGGCACCCTCAGCTCACTCTCCCAGCTGATTCCAGCTATTTAAGAATGTCTTTCTGGGGATCTGGCCCATTTCTTTCAATTAATGCTCCTTTCAGCCAGCCGACCATTAGAAGTCCATTAAAGCCCCTCCACCCTGGGAGAGTCATTCAGCCCGCACCGCTGTGCTCCATCTTCTGATAACAGGAGCGTCTAGACTGCCACGGAGAAATAATTAACCTTTTAAATTGTTTCTGTGGAGGTGGCTGTTTGTAGGTCGGCTTTTGTACTTATTTTCTTTTATTTTCCTCATTTGTTTATCGTCTTTCCTCCTTTGGGTCGGTGTCTTTCTGTTTGTTTCCTTATACTTTATTAATGTACAGCATCATATTGTCTTTATTACACTCTAATCATTTTTAAATGAACTCCTGACCCCGTGAATTACCTTGAGTTACCTTCCTCCAAACAGACTGGCTAATCTGTGGTGTCTTTTCATCCCCCTTCTCTCCCACTGCCTTTGATATTTCACAGGTTCTTGCTGGAGAGGAAGCCGATATCACCTCCAGCATGCTGAACACAGAGGACGCCGATACCCCCGCAGAGGAACTGGTTTACCACGTTGATGTGCCGTCCAATGGGATGGTGGCGTTGAAAGAGGCGCCCGAGGAGGGCATCTCTAATTTCACACAGGCTCACATAAACAAAGGGGAGGTCATCTTCATTCATGAGGGTGAGACCACTGAAATGATTTTCCTTGCATCAGTGTATCAATCTATGACCTCTGTCGCCCTCTGTCTTAGACTGCTGGTGTTACAACAGCAGTGTTAAAACTCATCAAGTCCTACACAAGTGTCTAAGTGCTCGTTTTTGCTCAACGTTGGATACGGAGCCTTCTGTCTGTACTCTACGTTCAATTCATCCGTATTTGTGCGTTTTCTAAAACCTTACAGAGTTACAAATTGCATAAATGTGTATAAAAACTGAGGAAATAAAAGACAGTCTAAATGAACCTAAAACTGGTGTAAAATCAGAAAGGACTCTCTAATACAAGTATGTTTTAAGAAGGGACTTAAAAGAGATCGCTGACTCGGCCGACCTGATTTCCTCGGGCAGACTGTTCCAGAGCCTCAGGGCCCTGACAACAAACACTCTGTCCCCTTTAGCTTTCAGCCAGACCTCTGGAACAGACAAAAGACCTCTGCCTGATGACCTTAAAGAGCCTTGAAAGTGAAGTCATCAGTAAAATCTTAAAATCTATTTTAAAACATACTGGGAGTCAGTGTGAAGAGGCTGAAACTGGAGTGATGTGAGTGGTTAAAGAGTCCTGTACAGTCTGTGTGGCGTAGCTCAAGGAAGATAGGATTTTAGAAGAAAAGGAAATAATTAAATAATGGTAGAACGAAACAAATTGGTAATATAGTGAAAATAATTCTCCGTCCTCACATACCAATGTATTTAATGGCCTCACAGGCGGCCATCTGAAACACTGCCTCCCTTAAATGTACATTATTACGACCTCCTCCACTGTCGCCATGTTTGTTGTTGTGTGTAACTTTTGACTTCACCCTCTAGCACCATCTTTAGACTGTTAAATATGCCAACTTGAAGGACATATGGAAGTATGAGGGCAGTCACATTTACAATGTTTAAAACGGACGTATCTATTTTCATGCATAAAGGGAAAGCTGACTACCTGGGAATGTAATCAGTCACTGGTATTGATCGTCAAAGTCCCAGAGACCTTTTGTGTGATGAGACAGAAAAAATAGTATTTGAGAGTATTTATTTGAGAGTATTTATTTGCCCATTAGTTGTGCCAAATAAAAGTGTGATTTTCATCCACACTCAAAGAAAGTATTTTGGGTTATTTTTAAGTTTTACATATTTTAATTACATATAAAATTTCCAAGTGAGTTAAGTAGAATAGAATAGAAAAGAAATAGAAAGAACTTTATTCACCCCCAAAGGGAAATTCAACTGTCCAGCAGCTTATAAAAAACAACCACATTTCCCCTCATCAACAACAACACAGTGATATTGAAATAGACATAAAATAAAATACGTTAAAATAGGTGCATAAAAAGAAATTAGAAATCAAATTGAAATCAGATTGAAATAGAAATTAAAATTAAATAAGTATAAATTAAATATTCTTATATAAACCACAACAGTGCAATCTAGGCAATGCAGCTTTATTTATATTGCATTCTTCTTTTACAGAGCAATAAAATACAAAACTATAATAAAGGATACAGGTTTATAATAAAAGACTAAAGAGAAAAAAAAGATAGAAATGGTAAAATTAGTTACTAAACGATTTACAATTAAAAAAAATCACCATTAAAAATAGTGCAGAGTGCAGACAAGAGGTGCAAAGATAGAAAGATTATTTAAAGTGTTTTAAAATTGAGTTTAAAAAGTAACTTATTTTATTCATTACAGGGTGGAATAGGGAGTGTAAAAAAGGATTGTTTGTATGTAATTATTAAAATAAATCTGAGATGGATAGACAATGAAAATTGATGTAACAATAGCTCGTACAATTTACATAATTAGCCTAATTTAATGTTCATTAACATATTTGAAATACATGGAATTTATTAACAGTTATTACAAATTCTGTGAGATATAGTTACATTGATTCTCACTGTCTATTAATCTCATATTTATCTGATTTAATAACATAAATAGTACTATGTTAGAATTATAGACCAAATACATTATTTGAGTGCAGACTAGGAAGGAATCACAACTGCTAAATTACGTCCTTCATGTATAATTAGTAATATAAGTTGCAGATATAAGTAAGTATTATTATAATATGAGTTGAAATATAATAGCAAAGACCAGTTTGACCAGCGAGTCACATCTGAACTCTTCTCTTCCTGCAGGTGAGGAGTCCGGCGGTTTCAGTTTCACAGTGACAGACGGCGAGCACACATCTCCCCTCTACCAATTTGTTGTCACAGCGAGGCCTCTCACCATCACCATGGTAACGCAGGAGGAGCTCATGGTATTTCCAGGTAAGATGCCAAAATCCTTCAGACTTTAAAGCGTGAAGTCGGCAGTGATGGAAGGATTACCACAGCGATGGGTGTGTGGTCACTCGCTTGACCCGGTCACTGCGGCAATATGACGACAGGTCTTTTTATTAACCTTTGTACTGTTGAGTTCTGTATCTGTGTCAGACACACAGAATAAGGTTAAAACAGAAACTGAGAGTGAGGTACAGTTTGTCCAATGTGTTTACTGGATTTTTTCCAAAACATAGCTGCTGTTTTTTATTATTATTTATTTTTATTTAACCTTATTTTAACCAGAATCTCATTTCAATAGAGACCTGGCCAACACAAGCAGTAGCACAAATAAAGTAGTTACAGACAGAAAACACAAAAAGAGTCTATGAAGGGAGTAAAAATCAAACTTAAGGAGCTCACAACTCAAAAAATAAATTCGAAAGAGTTAGTTTTGTTACCAGATACATTTTAAACATTGACATCATAAGGAATCTGTCTCTAATTCTTTATTTATGTATTTAAAATCATTTAACCAGATGAAGGCTCATATTCTACATATTCCATAGCGAGGGTGTAAAGTGCACAAAAGCCCTCCTCCCAGTTTCCATGCAGGCATTTGGAACAAAAGGCATAAGGAAGTCCAGAGGACACAAGGAGTATTCTCCGACACGTTTCTGCGTGATAAATAAATAAAATAAAATGTATTTCTGGTGTGCAGGTAACTTCTCACTCCTTGAGTTACAGACTTTTGGAAATATAGTCAGTAAATGTAGCCTGTTTAGGACATACAATAAGATCATATTCAAACACAAAACTGTCCCCCAAATACCTGAGCAGTGATATAGTGTCCCTCTAACTTTCTTACATTTAAGGCAGAGCTGTTCTGGGATGTTTGTTTTGAGCTTATTATAAATGTACATGCAGTAATGGGCCTACATTATCATCAGCCACTTATATTGTCAGTGTTCAAATAATACATATTGTTAGAAGAATTTTCATGTTTCACTGTTATATCAGAAAAGTCTGTAGACAGATGTAGTGTTACTTTTGTGACAGACTGAATGTGTACTTACTTGTAAGATTGAAGATGTAGAAATATATATATTTATATAATCAGGGTGTCTGCAGGTCCTTAGAAAGCCTTACAGTGTCTTAAATTCAGTGTTACAACAATAAGGCCTTAAAAGTCATTAAGGTCTGAACGATTCAGACATTTTATCTAATTTCATTTGTGAATTTCTTCATTTTCTTTTTGTCAAAATAAGTGATGTCTTTCTATGTAAAAGTCCACTTTTTTTTTTTTAAGATTATGTTTTTGGGCTTTTGTACGGAAGCGTATGGCATTCACTTGACAAATAAAAAAAAGCCCTGTTTTTCTGAGTATTTTTTTTTTGTTTTTCGTGGTAATTTTTTTTGGATCAGTAAGGGTAAGGCACTTAATTAGTTACACATAGGATATGATAATCTAGCTATGTTTTCAACTGCATCCTTCTTGTGTAGGCCTATCGCTCAATGTAACAGGTTGTAACAATGTTAGCTGACAAACGTGTATGGGCATGATACAACCTGTCTCCTCGTTCAGGAAAAAAAATTACCACAAAAAAAAAAACAGGAAAAAAAATACCACGAAAAACAGGGAAAAAATTACTCAGAAAAACAGAAAAAATTACACAAAAAAAACAGAAAAAAATTACTCAGAAAAACAGGGCTTTTTTTTAATTTGTCAAGTGAATGCCATACGCTTCCGTACTTTTGCCTTTAATGGACAGAACAGTGTGAAATGGGGAGAGAGAGAGAGTGGGGGGATGACATGCAGCAGAGGGATGCCAGCCAGAGTTGAACTCGCGACCACTGCAGCGAGGCATCACCTCTATACATGGGGCACAGGCACTATCCACTAAGCTACTGATGCCCCAAAAGTCCACATTTTTAATGTAACACATCTTTAAAAAACTATAACACTGTCTTTTTACTACAGACTTGCATCTGTTTGCAAAATGAAGATTGACTTAAATTACTCTAATAACCATATTCTTACATAACACCTACTTTTGCACAAGACCACATAAATACTACTTAAATAAGTAGAACATGATTTGTCCAAAAATCTGTCCTAAATTTGGGTTAAAACATGTCTTGAACAGGTCTTAAAAGCATTAATTTTTTAACTAATACCTGTAGACACCCTGATAAATGTTGCTGAGCAGCGGCCTCTGAGGCCAGACGTTGTAATTACAAGGCAGTAGTTCAATGACGTTGCTCTTTTCTCAAGGTTCTCTTGAGTCAGTTGTTTTTAAGACATTTATTATGTTGATCTGAAACTGAAACTATCCGATAAAATATTGTGAAGCAGGAGCACAAGTATAGAAAAATCATAAGAAGGGTTGCAGCGGTATGAGATTTTCACAGTATGAGGATTTTTTTTTAACGGACGTATGTGTAAAAGGTCTGACAGACAGTTGAGGATGGAAGGAGATGTGCACTTAGGTGCGATTCTACATCCGTTATATGGTTTTACGGTGTACCACTGCTAACTTAGCTACACCGTATCTATGCTAACATTAGCCACTACGAGCTACTGGTCACACCAGACCGAGGACACTTGCGGCTACAAAACCCCTGTAGTGAAAAGAATTTAACAAGGGTGCATTTTATCACATAAATTCAGCTTTTCAAGTTACATGAACTCACGTTACTCTTACTTTGACAGTCCAGCCTTGATTTAGTTTTGTTTGAAATATGTTTAAATACTTTGAAAAACAATATCACTTTATTTTTAGTGTTTTTAACGTATCACAACTTCTCCATATCATGAGCACAGGTGTGAGCACGGTCAAAAACCTCAGCTCATAATGAACTTTACTTTCATGCATGATGCAGGAAATGAGTTGTCAAATTTTTTTTAAAGCTTGGATAAGCTTTTGGAACGAAATTCTCTCCATCAGGAAACTCTCGTGCACAGTTACGTGCATGAGTTACTGTAACCACTGACGTTGTAGGCAAGTCTAGACTCTGTTTAGTTTTACAAGCTCAACTACACATCACACAAGAGGCCGTTTTCCACAGAGTCATCACAGCACTCAAGTGTGTGTGTGTGTGTGTGTGTGTGTGTGTGTGTGTGTGTGTGTGTGTGTTTTCTCACAGGAACAAGGCAGTCTATCACAAGTGCCAATCTGGGGGCTGTAACCAGTGAGGATGGAAACGAGATAAGCTACTCTCTCGTCCGCCCACCTCGTTTGGGAAGACTCATCCTGGCCAATGACATGAACCAGTATGAGGAAATTACCAGCTTCTCACAAACACAGGTAATTACCTTCTGTGTGTGTGTGTGTGTGTGTGTGTGTGTGTG